ATTTTCTACCTACCATCTATGCTACTTATTTGCTGTACCTTCCCCCCCCCTTCTCCTCCCACTCCCCTGTTGCTAACCCTCCTTGAGATCTTCATTTCTATGCTTCCACTCCTGATCTAGCTGTCCTCTTAGTTTGCTTTTGTTTTAGGTGTGGTTCTTAATAAACTGTGAGTTTGCTGTCCTTTCACTGTTCATGTTTTTTTAACTTCTTTTTCTTAGGTAAGTCCATTTAACATTTCATATAATAAGGGCTTGGTGATGATGAACTCCTTGAATTTGATCTTATCTGAGAAGCACATTATCTGTCCTTCCATTCTAAATGAAAGTTTTGCTGGATAGAGCAATCTTGGTTGTAGGTCTTTGGATTTCATGACTTGGAATACCTCTTTCCAGCCCCTTCTTGCCTGTAAGGTCTCTTTTGAGAAATCCGCTGACAGTCTGATGGGCACTCCTTTGTAGGTGACTGTCCCTTATCTCTTGCTGCTTCTAGGATTCTCTCTTTCATTTTAATCTTGGCTAATGTAATTATGATGTGCCTTGGTGTGTTCCTTCTTGGGTCCAACTTATTTAGGACTCTCTGAGCCAGGACATCTTTAAACGCTCCAACATCAGAATTATAGGGGTACCAGAAGGGGGAAAGGAACAGCCACCAGTGGAAAACTTATTTGAACAAATAATAAAGGAGAATTTCCCCAATCTGGCAAAGGAAATAGACTTCCAGGAAATCCAAGAAAAGAAATTTTATTGTGTACTTTATGCTATACTGGAAAATCAACGCTAACATCAGAAGCATGTTATAGCAGAAAGATCAGTGCTACCTCTTTTGTTACCTAGCTGTGGGACCACAGGTACAAAATTTTCATCCTCCAAGCATCATCTGTAGGATGAGGTGCTGTACTTAATTATTTCAGGTCACTTAGACATATAAAATTTAATTTTAGAAATATTTGCCAGTAAGATTGTAAACAACAGGAGCTTTATAGTTAGTTAATGAAAGAATGCAAGTAAGCAAGCTTTTCTAGTTATCAAACATAATACTGTTTCAAGCCAAATTCTCAACTCTTTTCTAATTCTGAAAAACAGGCCGAAGTCTCTGGAAACCACTATCAGAAAACAACTTGCCCTGGAAAATAAAGTGTAGTCTCCTAAACTCATCATTTGAGGTCATCCATTTTCTCATTTTTAATTCTCCATCCTTCAAGGACCAGTTTGAAGGTTGTGTCCTATGCTTGAAATTCCAGTGTGATTTTCTTATTCAGAAGGAATTCCCTGTTTCTCTATTTCCTCCAGTACTTCCTTCCTGCCATTGATTTTATCACAGTTCATCTCAGAGTATAGTAATTTATATATTGATTGACTTTTAAAATATATTTTCTTAGATCATAAGCATTTCTGCCCACATTGCCAATGCAATGCCATTCTGGGGGTTGTCTTTTATTTTGTTAATGTTTTCATTTGCTATGCAAAAATGTTTTAGTTTGATGTTGTTCCATTTGTTTATTTTCTCTTTTGTTTCCCTGGCCTGGGCAGATATATCTGATAAAACATCACTAAGAGCAATGTCTGAGATTTTACTGCCTATGTTTTTTCTATAGATTTTATGGTTTGGGATCTAACATTTCAGTCTTTAATCCATTTTGAATTTATTCTTGTGTGTGGTGTAAGAAGGTGGTCCAGTTTCATTTTTCTGTACATATCTCTGTAATTTTTCCAACAGTATACCTTGGAGTCAGGCAGTGTGGGTCTTTCTTCTTTCTCAAGAATGTTTTTTGGCTATTCAGGGCATCTCACGGTCCCATAAAAATTTTAAGAGTGTTTGTTCTGTTTTTGTGAAAAATGCCACTGGAATCTTTACAGGAATTGCAATTGAATGTGTAGATCACATTGGGTAGTATGGACATTTTAGAAATATTAATTCTGCCAACCCAAGAACATGACATATTGTTCCATTTATCCATGACTTCTTTAATTCCCTTCACCAATATTTTATCATTTCCAGTGTATAATATTTTGTCTTCTTTCATTAAGTTTATACCCAAGTATTTACTTATTTTTTGCTCTTGTAAATAGACTCACATTTTTAATTCTCTTTTTGGATAATTTATTGTGAGTATATAGAAACACCACCGAATTTCTATATTGATTTTGTACACTGCAATTTTACTGTATTTATTTACTAATTCTAAAAGTTTTTGTTGTTAAACTTTTCTACATACATGATCATGTCATTTATCAATAGAGATCATTTTACTTCTTCCTTTCTGATTTGATCCTTTTAATTCTTTCTTCTTGCAAAATTGCTCTGACTAGGACCTCTAGTAGCATGTTGAGCAGATGCATTGAGAGTGGCCATCCTTGCCATGTACTGAATGTAGATAGAAAGCTTTGTTTTCTCCCCATGGAGTATGATGTTGGCTGTGTGCTTTTCATATACAACTTTAGTGTTGTGAGTTGAGTTTCTTCTCTACCTATTTTGTTCAGAGATTTAATCATAAATGGATGCTGAATTTTTTAGTTTCAGGTGTATAGCATAGTGATTAGATAATCATATACCTCACATTTGGTACTATTTCAAGTACCCACCTGGCACCATATATCATTATTACAATATTATTGACTACATTCTCTATGCTGTAATTCATATTCCCAAGACTATTTTTTTACTATAAATTTGTATTTCTTAATCCCATCAGCTTTTTCACCCAGTCCACAAACCCCCTCCACTTGACCCATCAGTAGACGGATAAAAAAATTGTGGTACATATATACAATGGAATATTACTCAGCCATAAAAATATTTAATATTTTTGAACTCTACTTGATTTATTTCTGCTATAATTTTATTATTTCTCTTATTCTAGTAACCATAAGATTTGTTCGCTCTTCCTTTCTATTTCTTTGAAGTAAAAATTAACTTGTTTATTTGAGGTTTTTCTTCTGTTTTAATGCAGGCACTTATCATTATACACACTTATATGTTTTATTTGTTTATTTGTTTGTTTTTGAGGGAGAGAAACATTGATGTGCGAGAGATACATTGATCGGTTGCCTCTTGTGTGCCCCCTACTGGGGACCTGGCCCACAATGCAGGCATGTGCCCTGGCTGGGAATCAAAAGGGCAAACCCTCAGTTTGCAGGCTGGCACTCAGTCCACTGAGCCACACCAGCCAGGGCTCCATTATAAACACTTTGGACTTAACCTGACCTGGGACTGAAACTTAGCTCTGTCACTTCCTAGTTTTGTGACTATGAGCAAAGCTGAACTACTCTGACCTCTCTTTCCTGATATACAAAATGGGAATATTAAAAATGTCTTTTTTTGCTGGGAATATGGTAAGAATTGATGGACTTAATTAACATGGGAGATAGAGGATGAGTGAGTTCTCAGGATCTAATGCACAGTATTATGATTGTAGTTAACAATACTTCATTATACACTCGAAAGTTGCTAAGAGCCTAGTTCTTTAATAGTCTCATCAGAAAAAGTAAATAACTATGTGACCTGGAAAAGATGTTAACTAACACTACTGTAATAATAAGATTATAATATATAACTACCAAATCAATATATTGTACACCTTAAACTTATTCAATGTTGTATGTCAATAATATTTAATAAAAATGTTTGAAAGTAAAGGAAGATACAGGAGAGATACTTAGTACATAGTAACTGGTAATTTCTTACTACTGTTATTATTTTGCTTAGTGTTAATTTTAATCTTTTTATGTGCTTCTCCCAGTTACTATTCCAGAGAAATATGCATTTTCCCATTATTCCCCAATGTGAGCACTGATGGAAAACTAATTCTCACTATAACTCACCATCAACTTGTCAATTTTAGATGAGGACAATGAAGAGAGCTATACTGTATTAAATTCAGAGTAGTTTTTCATACTCATTTAATTCAATAATTTCCCTCTTTAATTCTCATTTGCTTTTCTCTCACAAATAAGGTCTCACAATGGTTGAACTTGTGAGCCTGAAATAAGAGTCTTAAGGCTGCTACCATCTGCCTGTCTTATATTGAATTTACCTAAAGAGTTACATTGAAAACCTAAGGCCCCTAAGACCATCTCTGGTTGCCCCTTATTGTTCTCCACTAAAATTAAACTCTATTCATTCATTCATTTAGCAGTTCATGCATGTGAAGAGTTATAATCCCACCTAATTCCAAAAGACATGAGAAGGGTGGTCTTATGATGAAAGCCAAGGAATAATGATCACAGTATGAAGGATAAAAAACAACTAGTAAGAAAGAATGGGACATTCCAATCTACAGGCATCTTTCTCTATCTCACTCTCTTCCAACTCTATTTCTTTGATTACTCTTCATCTTTCTTTTTTCTTTAGCCCCTGCCAACAAATACCTCAACTCTGCCAACACCTTCACATTGCTAAGGAGAAGATACTCCAGCTAAAGAGACTGCAGGCCAGACAAGGTGGATTCTCAAAACCACCATTCAGTGGTAAATTATTCAGAAAAGGATGAAGTAAGAAGCTTGGTACAGCCCTGGCTGTGTGGTTCAGTGGATTGGGTGCTGGCCTGCAAACCAAAGGGTCACTGGTTCAATTCCCAGTCAGAGCAAATGCCTGGGTTGCAGGCCAGGTCCACAATTGGGGATGCATGAGAAGCAACTACACACTGATGTTTCTCTCCCTCTCTTTATCCCTCCTTTCCCCTTTGTCTAAAATAAATAAATATACTCTTAAAAATGTTTTTAAACTTTGTAGGAAACTAAAGAGGGCAGCCTTCATCAGGCAGAAGATTCAATCTCTCTACAACAAAACAATGGAGATAATTCACTATTTCCTCACATAGGATTTTGGCCTGTAATGTTCTTCTAATTTCAATGGACAAGTTAGAGGTAGGGTGCAGCATCCTTCCTCAGTAACTGCTTACAATCAAAGTATACATACTATTCCTTCCCCCCAACCCTCTTCTCTACCATCTCAGAATACATCAGTGAGTCACCTGCCTTGAATTCCTAAAGACACTCACCTGTATTACAATGAAGATCATCAGACTCTGACTCCGTGCCATTTTGGCTTCCATTTCCCTGAAGGGTGTTCATAGCCATAAGCTTCATCTTCTGTAGCTTCATTGCCTCAGCCATTGCTGCAGCTGTTACACCTAAAACCAGAATTATCCCTTTTAAAAATGAGGACAATTTAATGTAATTGAAACCTGGGTATGTTGCTTTACCAGGCATATGCTACACAGCATAAGCCAAAACTAAGTCCAACTTTAATTTATAAATAATATTCTAGAACAAAGTAAATTCCAACTCCTGTAATTATTTCATTGTACAGTGGACTATTTAACAAAACCTAAAAATGCACTGAATATGGGTTAGATCCCCAATTCAAAATGCAGAGGAAACAGAGTAATACGAAAATTGTTGGAGAAATTCTAAAGCTCTTGCGCATGTATGCTGGTGTCTATTAAAGAGCTCTGTAGCCCTGGCTGGTGCAGCTCACTGGATTGAGTGCAGGCTGTGAACCAAAGGGTCACTGGTTCAATTCCCAGTCAGGGCACATGCCTGGGTTGCGGGCCAGGTCCCCAATAATGTGTATATGAGAGGCAACCACAGATTGATGTTTCTCTCCCTCTCTTTCTCCTTCCCTTCCCCTCTCTCTAAAAATAAATAAATAAAATATTTTAAAAAGAGCTCCAGACAGTTGTTTTAGACAGAAATCATTTTGTATTAACATCCACCTCAAACAATATGGACAGAGGAAGCACTCTGACACATTAGAAGGAAGCACTTTCTTTTGAATAGAGTTGTTGCCACTTCCGTTGAAGGGTGAGCTGTCTTGCCTGGGAGAGTGACCTTTGAAAGAAGGGGAAGGAGGGTGGTAAAAAAGACTTCAAGTAGCCTTTCTTCTCATTTACTGTCCTCATGCCTGTACACTGTGGGACTGAATACATGACAACATAGCATGGCACTTCTGAAAACTGGCCAGCCCCTGTAGTATAAAATAATTGCAATGTCTTGTATCAATTTAAGCCAATTGCTTTTAATTCTATACAATGGTACAAAGGGGTAGGGATAAAAATCCCAAAGAGAAAATATGAGTGCTTATGTTTGAAATCCTTTCTCCTAGGAAGTCTGTATTAGGAAGTTCCATAAAAATATCTAAGGGAACAGGTACTAAACATAGAATCCAGCCCTGGCTGGTGCTGCTCAGTGGATTGAGTGCTGGCTTGTGAACCCAAGTGTCACCGGTTCGATTCCCAGTCTAAGGCACATACCTGGGTTGCAGGCCAGATCCCCAGTATGGGGTGTGTGAGAGGCAACCACACATTGTTTCTCTCCCTCTCTTAAAAAAACAACAACACAGAATCCATATTTCAGCAATGCTCTCCAAAAAACTAGTGAATCCAATTTAGTACTTGTAGATAGTGTTGAAATACCATGACCACCCCCCTGCAATAATTTGGCAGATTTAAAACAGTATTTGAGAAGGCATGTGTTGTTGCAAAAACAAAGCATAACTGCCATCATGAGAAGAATTTGATTCTAAGAGGTAGGGTGCGTCCTTACCAATAGTGTAAGGGGAAGCAAGTGCAGCCTAGAAAACTAAACTGTGTGTGTTAGGGAGAATCACCAAGGTTATACTCTGCCACTCTGTACTCTTCACAATGCATAGAAACTCGAAATGGAGACAACTTTTGAGCCCATCAGCTCATCCATGAATCATGGCAAAAAGAGGATAAGAATAAAAATTGTTTCAGTCTATGAATTGATTCAGTCTACATGTGGACATTTTCTATATGGTCCCAGAGATTTTCTAACCATGTTTAGCTTTACTGAGTCCTGACCCTCCAAATGGGCAGAAAATATGATGGCACCTATGTGAACAAAGGGACCCTGCCTAAGACTGCCAAGGCTGAATGCCTCATAACCAAAAATTTATCAAGAAGTTTCCAGAATTTATGTCACCCCCTCTGATTAGCCATCCAGAACAGGATCCTAAGTGTGACAATTATTGAATTTCTAGCTGTTTCATAACTGGTAATGTAAATGGTGGATGTTAACAAACAAAATATGGATTCTTACTTTATGAAAAATAAGCCAACAAAATATTTTATAGACAAGAAATTCCAGGTAAAATGTGTATCTCATACAATGTCACTAAAGGAATGAATGAAAGAGTCCCCTCAAATTTTTTGAATTTGAAGAAAACATGCTAGGTTCTAATATCTATGCATTCTTTCAAACACTCACTAGCTATATGTTATCATTTAAGAAAAGCCAGTGAGCAAATTCAGAACATAATTTTAAGGTGGTAAAGAACCACAGTGTAATAACACTACAAAGATACTTAGGCACCATCTACCTCAGTCTCTTCAGTTCTGCACTTTCTGATAGTTGAGCATTTGCTTCTGTAACCTCAGCACCTTCTATTTATATTCACCTAATTTCATGATTAACTCAACATTTAGTCACTATACTTATTGACCAAGTCTTCATGTACATCCCTAATGTATTCTAAACTCACTTCCTATCTTAAAACTCAACATAACCATATGAAAATACTCAGCATACTATAAGTTTGTGTGTGTGCATGTGAACATGTATGTGTATGATTTACTATTATTATTATTGAGTATGCAAGCTTCAATTTCACAGTTAGAGTGGTGACGATGGTGACAGAAGTTCTTCAGAATTACAAGAAATGTGCTCTGTTTTTAAACCACCATGTCCATTTATACAAGAAACACTGAGCCCCAGGGAGAAAAAGTAACACAACCAGTGAATGGGAGGGGTAGGATGAAAACTCATGTATCCTCACTTTCACCCTGAGTGCTTTGTTCACCAATTCCCACCTTCTTTTTTTTTTTAAAGAGAAGGAGAGAAACATTGGTTGGTTGCCTCTCACATGACCCAAACTGGGGACCCGGCCCACAACCCAGGCCTGTCCCCTGACTGGGAATTGAACCATTAACTTTCCAGTTTTTAGAACAATGCCCAATCCACTGAGCTGCACCAATCAGGCCCAATTGCCACCTTCTTAATCTTAATTTTAATTTCTTTAAAAGTGTCTAAAAATGGGCTTGCAAGGACGCATTTTAGGTCACTGACTAGAATGAGGAAGAAATTATGTCATATCAATTCCCAAGTGTTCTGTTTATTCATATGCAAAATGAAGGAGTTGGATTAAGGATCTTTATAATTTCTAGGAAGCAATAATTGTGACTAGATTTACTTTGTACTACATAGTCTTCTGAAACAACTGTAGTTTTGCATTTTCCGTACACACGTTAGAGAAAAAAATTTCTTGACACTTTTCTCACTAGTAAACAAGTATCAATCAGACTTACAAACTTTATGTGATCTATAGTCCTCAAATTTGCAGTTCAGGGGGCAGGTGATCCATGGTTTGTTGTGAATTTGGGTTAGCAACAGTGATCTGAGCCAAAATTAAGGCGATTTTGTAGTTTCTTCATAAGTTATACTATGGCCATCCTTTCAGAGTAGTTTAAAAGCTTCTCTGCCAAAACTGTAAACAAGTAAATTAACTAAAGCAGACCTATGAGTAATCAAATTTTCAGGCTTACAATTAGTTAATCAAAATGATGAGTCAGCTCACTGCCATATGGTTTTATATTTTAAAAAATAACCTTTAAGGAAAATAACAGATTACTGCATTGATAATATCTGTGCAGACATGAAAAGCAGTCAATGGTGTTTTAGTCTGCCAGTACTGTGTGTTGGCTTGTTTGTTATTTGCATTCAAAGCTACTTTGGGTCACATATGATGTACTAAGACATGAATAATGAAACATCTGGTAATATGAAATGTTAATGTCATATACTGTGTTGAATTTAGTGGACACAGTTTTGAAATTCCCTATAAATCAACTGGGAAGGTATAAATTTAAAAAGAGCTTGTATTTAGGTTGAGTTTTAAAAGATGCTTATGCTCTGTTGTCAAAAAAAAAACATGGACACTAAAAGATTCAGAATGCAACTGTGGGGAATGCCATAAGGATAGAAGAATGAAGAATGAAAGGGCAGACAAGACACATGCCAGTAGTTACGGGCCACCCAAATGAAGAACAATTATTACAGCAATTCTTAGGAATCGCCATTCAGAGATAAATACATTGAAAATTATTCAGCTCAGCTCTGTGGCTGAGAGTTAAAGGCCAATAAAACACATCTATGGGAAGTTCTCAAAACAGAAGCTAGCTGCTGCATTCACCTAGACATCAGCAAAGCCACTGCATGATGCAGGCACCAAAAATCTACTATATTGGCATAGATATTTAGCACACTTTGTTGAATTACAGCTAAACATGAAGAGAGAATGCAATTGATCTTTGCTAAAGTTCAATTTGTCCTATTGGAGGACGTCAAATAAGTCACTGAATTTGCCATTCAGAATGAAAACAGAGACAGGAAACTGACCATTACTGAGGGGTGATAGGCAGAGCAGCACAGCCTAGTAGAGAGTGCAATCACACTAGGAACCAAAGACAAGGCTGGCTGCTGCCGCTCTGAGCAAATTGCTGCCCTACAGCCTGAGACATGTAACAAAGGTCCAGGTTGCTAAGCACCTATTAATTTTCCTATAGACTCTTCTGAAAATGCATACTAGGCATTTAAAACTTTGAAAGTCTAATAGTAATCTCTTCAAAAGCTCATATTTCAATGTTCTGCAAAAGCAACAGATTGGAGGATTTACAAGTCCTTGATTTTGCCATTCAGAATGGAGCCAGGAACAGGATAGTGGTGACCAGAAGGAAGGGGGAGGAGCTAATAATGGGTAAAGGATGCCAAGTATGTGGTGATGGAAGATGATTTGACTTTGGTTGATGGGCACACAGTGCAATATACAGATCATGTGTCATAGAAATGAACACTTCAAACATATACAATCTTATTAACCAATGTCACCCCAATACACTTAATGAAAAAAGTATGTTAACCAAAACTTATATTTTGAAATGTGGTTGACTGTAAAATGGTGCCAACAAGAATACATACAATAACATATATACCACCTGAAATATAACTTTATACAAACAGGCACCCACAGAAAAGGGTCACATTCTTAGAAGAAAACTGAAGAAAAAAAGTACCAACCCATTAAGTGAACGTTTGATTTTCAAATCAATAATAA